ACTGATAAACTAAACCAATTCTAAATATAAATAATAGAAAATACGGAAACAAGTCCCAAACATTAGGATGTCACTAAGTCATGAGCGTCTAAAACTATAAACTAAGATATATAAACTGTCAAACTGTCCAAAAGAAGAAATGATAAAATGAGTAGCAAGGTCCTGCAGACACTAGCAGCTACCTTGCAGTCTCCAAAAATAGCCGACCTGAACTCAACCATCGCCGTGCTCTAACTCTCCTGGATCTGCACACAAAGTGCAAGGTGTACTATAAGTACTACCACCTCAACAGTAATAGAAATAACTAAGAAACTGAGCAGCAGTGACGAGCTAAGAAAAATAGTCCAATTATTATTTTTCATAATTTAAAAATAAATAGGTAAATTCTCTAACTTAGTAAATACCACAAACAAATTTAATAGATAAATGCAGCAACTACAAAAGTAGATGCAACCTCACAACAATATCACTCAATCACTCAACACTCAACACTCAACACTCAATACACTCAACACTCTGCGCTCATTGGGGTGTGTACAGACTCCGGAGGGGCTCCCAAAGCCCAAGCACTAAGTTCAGACAACTCACCGCACAGTCAACTCACGTGCTACGCGGACAACTCACGCGGTATGGTATCAATACCTGGACCCCCACGATCAACTCACATGCTATGCAGACAACTCACGCGCTATGGTATTAATATCTTTACAACCAGGCCCTTGGCCTTACTCAATCATGTACCTTACTAGCCTCACCATCATCAACAAATAAGGGGACACACCCCACATCAAGTATTACAGCATATTAGCAAGTAATAGAGACTAAGGTAAACATTTATAATAATTTCTATGTTTGACTAAAAAATAATGTGAGCCTGAATAAAACCTAAGCATTATCTCTAGCATGAAGGCAGACAAGTTCAACAACAAGTAAACACATAATCACAAATAATAGCTATTAGGCCTCGCAGCCTCACAGGATGGACCAAGTCTCAATCCCTCACGGTACAAACCCACACGCCCATCACCTAGCATGGGTATCACCACCAAGCAATCACATGATATTACTTTCTCCGGGTTTATACCCTCAAAGCCAGAGTTAAAATTATTACTTACCTCAACCGCATAGAATCTCATTCCGAGATGCCCTCGTCTCTAGACTTAGTTTCAAAAAGCTCCGAATCTAACCATAATCTGATGACTACTATCAACATAGTCTAAAGAATCAAATTTAATAATAAAAACTATAATATATGAAAAAAATTCGAAATCAGTCAAAATCTGGCCCTCGGTTCGACGTCTCAGAATTAGACAAAAATGGCAGAATCATAAACCTCATTCTCTCCCGAGTCTAACCATATAAAATTTATCAAAATCGGGCTCCGTTTAGTCCCTCAATTCCTCAATTAAAACTTTCCAAAACTCAAACCCTAACTCCCTGAATTTCAGTTTGAATATGTCAATCAAATCCCAAAAACGAAGATGGATTCATAAAACATAACAAAATTGAGTAGAGAACACTTAACCCAATTCATATGGTGAAAATCGCCTCCAAAATCACCCATATCCGAGCTCCCCAACTCAAAATATGATCGAATGAACAAATCCTAGTTTTATATATTTTTCTTCCAGCTATTCTGCCTCGTTTCTCATTCCAAATGATCCCAAAACTCATATTTTATACCTCCAACGGATTCCTTGTGAAATTCTAGTCAAGTTAGACTTTTGAATCACTCAATTATACCTTGTAATAAATGAGATATGTAGGTGTTAATATTTGTAAATAGTGAAGATTTTTAGATACCCTGCTAGTGACAATTTCTTAATTAATCTGAAAAATCTAACAACCTAATTCTTAGTAAAATGACCCTGATATCCTCATACGATATCCATATTCGATGGTTCTTTTTGTTACGGGTCCGTAATTACGATACGGATCTAATGTTTCAATCAAAAAGAAATCTCAGCTTGTTCAATACGATATCATTTATACTTGAAGAAACGACGTCGAAATATAAGAAAAACGAGCGCAACACAACACAAACCTTTCCGAAACTCACCCGAGGCTCTCGGGACCTCAACCAATGATTTCAACAAGTTATATATCACGACTCGAACTTATCCAAACCTTCGGAACACCCAAAACAACACCAAAACACCAAATCAACCTCGAAATCAAGCCTAAGAACTTCTAAGCTTCCAACTTTCGCCAATTTAAGCCTAATTCTACCACGAGCCTCCATATTATATTCCGGATACACTCTTAAGTCTAAAATCATCCAACAAAGCTAACTGAATCATAAAAATCCAAATCCGAATACATTTACTCATAAGTCAACTTCTAGATGACTTTTCTAATTTAGGTTTCTAACTAAGAAACTAAGTGTTCATTTCACTCCAAAACTACCCTGAACCCAAACCTACCAACTCGATACAACTCAACACAGCTGAACAACACATAAATAAGAATAGATAGGGGAAATGATGCTATAACTCTCAAAATGACAGGCCGGGTCGTTACATCCTCCCTCTCTTGAATAAATGTTCGTCCTCGAACGAGTCTAGAAACATAACCGGAGTCTCAAATAGGTGAAACCTTCAGCAATACCTTCTCGTCACATTAAAATCATATGAACTCATCTCGTGGTCACATCATACTCATCACGTACCCATCAAGGGAATCACAATCCGTCGATACACAAATGATACCAAGCGTTCATGTGCACATACAAATGCGTGGAAGGAATTCAACGAGTTACACTTCAAGCTAAATCAATATTGCACGATAAGAATTTAAGAAGGTGAAGTTTTTCTAAAGGTTCTGCAGCCTCTCGAAGACAAGTACGTACGTCTCCATACCGATCCGCAAGACTCTACTAAACCCGCCCATGACTCGTGAGGCTTATGTAACCTAGGCTTTGATACTAAATTGTCACGACCCAAAATCTAACCATGGTCATGATGACGCCTATCGTGTTACAAGGCAAGCCTATTCCCAAAATATTACTACTAAATCGATTATAAGAATTTAATAAAATATTTTTAATAATTTAATTCCTGATAGACTAAACCAACTCTAAATATAAATAATATAAAATATGGAAATGATTCCCAAACATTAGGGTGTTACTAAGCCATGAGAGTCTAAAACTATAAACTAAGATATAGAAATTGTTTAATTGTCCAAAAGAAAAAATGACAAAAGGAGTAACAAGGTCCTGCCGACACTAGCAGCTGTCTTGCAGTCTCCAAAGATTGCCTACCTGAACTCAACGATCGCCGCGCTCTAACTCACCTGGATCTGCACATAAAGTGCAGGGTGTTTTATGAGTATTACCACCTCAGTAGTAACGGAAATAAATAAGGAACTGAGCAGTTTTGACGAGCTAAGAAAAATAGTCCAATTATTATTTTCACAATTTAAAAATAAATAGGTAAATTCTATAACTCAGTAAATACCACAAAGAAATATAACAGATAAATGCAGCAACTACAAAAGTAGATGCAACTTCACAACAATATCACTCAATCACTCAACACTCAATACACTCAACACTCTTCGCTCACTGGGGGTGTGTACAGACTCCGGATGGGCTCCCAAAGCCCAAGCGCTAAGCACGAATAACTCACATGCCATCATATCAATACCTGGATCCGCACGGTCAACTCACGTGCTACGACAACTCACGCGCTATGGTATCAATAACTGGACCCACACGGTCAACTCACATGCTACGCGGACAAATCACGCGATATGGTATTAATATTCTTACAACCAGGCCCTTGGCCTTACTCAATCATGTACCTCACTAGCCTCACCATCATCAACAAATAAGGGGACACAACCCACATCAAGTATTACAACATATTAGCAAGTAATAGAGACTAAGGTAAACATTTATAATAATTTCTACGTTTTGAGTAAAAAAATAATGTGAGCCTGAATAAAACCTAAGCATTATCTCTAACATGAAGGCAGACAAGTTCAATAACAAGTAAACACATAATCACAAATAATAGCTATTAGGCCTCGCAGCCTCACGGGACGGACCAAGTCTCAATCCCTTGCGGTTGCAAACCCACAGGCCCGTCAACTAGCATGGGTATCACCACCAAAGAATCACATGATATTACTTTCTCCCGGTTTATAACCTCAAAGCCATAGTTTAAACTGTTACTTACCTGAACCGCATAAAATCCCATTCCGAGTTGCCGTCATCTCTGGACTCAGTTTTAAAAGGCTCCGAATCTAACCATAATTAGATTACTACTATCAACATAGTCTAAAGAATCAAATTTCACAATAAAAACCATAATATATGCAAAAAATTCGAAATCGGTCAAAATCTGGCCCTCGGGCCCACGTCTCGGAATCAGTCAAAAATGGCAGAATCATAAACCTCGTTCTCTCCCGAGTCTAACCATATAAAATTTATTAAAATCGGGCTCTGTTTGATCCCTCAAATCCTCATTAAAACTCTCCAAAACTCAAACCCTAACTCCCTGAATTTAAAACTCAAAACCCACGGCGTCGAGCTCTAGAGAGAGAAGCTCTGGCGTTTTGGAGGCGATTTGGAGGCGATTAGAGAGAGAAGCACGGCGATGGCCAATCCGGCCACTGCCCAGCCATGAACGGAGGTTGGGCAGTCCTCTTCACTACCTACAACATCTCCCCTACCATCTACAATCCAAACAACAACACAAACCTACCCAAATCTGTTAAAACCTAGTGCATTAAATACCCCCGTGCAACCTACGACGCCCATAGCCCTAAAACCAATCGAGTATCTCCATGGAGAGCCCATTGTTCGTTGGAAGAAACAAGAAGTGAGGCAATTCATTGCTCAACAGGGATTGAATCTGGCAGTCTTGGGTAAGTTTTCATATGGGAAGCCAAGTATTCATGAATTACGTAAAGTTCTTCCAATTCAATGTGAGTTAAAAGGGCCATGCTCAGTTGGGTTGATTGAAGAAAGTCATGTGTTGATCAAGCCTACGTTAATGGAGGATTATATTCATCTTCTTTCAAAGCCTGCGTACTACTTGAAAATCCAGAATGAGATGTGGCAGATGAGGTGCACCAAGTGGAATCCATGGTGGAAAGTTGATGAAGAGACGCCAATTGCTATTGCTTGGATATCCTTTCAAGATTTACCTCCTAACTTCTTTGGGAGGGAGTTTGTATTTTCATTAGCAAGGGCAGTAGGGAGGCCACTACATGTGGACTTGGCAACACAAAATGGTACACGATCAAGCTGTGCAAAGGTGAAAGTTGAAGTTAACTTGATGGCCAACTTGCCTCAAAGAATCAAGATTGTTGAAGAGGAAGATGAGACTGGGCCGGAAGAGTTCAAGTGGATAAAAATCAGGTATGATTACATGCCAAAGTACTGTAAATCATGTAAGAAACAAGGACATAAGGAAGAGGAATGCTGGGTGATTAATCCGGAATTGAGGAGATTTGAAGAACCAAATAATGAAGTGAAGGAGCAAGGGAAGGGACGGGAAGTACTGGTGACATCTAAGGAGATTGGTACTGATGCAAACTCGACAAGGGTGTTATCAAGTGGTAGGGTATTTGGGAAATCAATTCCTAATCAAGCTAAACAGGAATGGATGCAAGCAAGGAAAAACAAGTATCAACGGGATAAAAGAGGGCACATTATTGATGATAAAGCTGGAAAAGATGCGGACAAAGGGAAAGGGAAGAACAAAGTGGAGGAGGTGACAATGAAGAATAAATTTGATAAACTGGAGGTGGAGGAAATTCAAAATCCCCCTCTTCAAATAACGGAGGGAAAAGGCGAAGATCATGACAATGGGAAAAAGAAAGAACAAGTTCAAAAGAAGACCAGAGAATTACAGGAAAAGGTGAGAGAAGCTAAGAATGTGGAGGCAACTTCGAAGCTTAATCCTACTAGGGCTGGGGTGGTGCAGAAGGAGTTAATACGAGTGAAAAAGGAGGCAGTGGAGAAGGCCTTGATAGGAGACAATCCTAGCTCTAGTAACACCCCTCCAAGTAAGTCTATAGGAGACCTAGAAGTGGTTGATCCCAATACTAACAAGGAGTCAACTATTGAGTGGGTGCATAGGAGGTTTGGGGCTGATAAGGAGGAATTAA